CGTAAAAAGACAGTATAAGTCATTATAATCAGTAATTATGTCCTCACTCGATGCAACAAATGCCTCGTTTATAATGGGTTTTAATGTTTTTGTCTCGTCGCACCGGCAGGGCAGGGCATCACAGTATGGTGAGGGGAGTAACATTTCTGTCTCACGCTTGAGGTATTCGGCCAATCACAACGCACTGGATAGCTGGCCAATCAGAGCACACCTTGCTTTTTCAGACCGATGAGCTTTGTAAAAATCGATGCGTTTCAAAAAGGCGGGGCATAGAGGAGAAACAATAATGTACACTATGTGGAAAATAATGTGTTTTTTTAACTTTAAACCGCATAAACACATTTCATTACACCAAATACACAAAATCATGTTCTTTTTAGCAACATCATATGACCCCTTTAAAACAAGCAGCGGAAAAATATCACACTGTATAGCCTAATGGTGTGCTTTTGAATATTGTTCTGCACAAGGGATGTTTAATTCAAAAACGTTGAGAACATTTGCTAGATAGATGTGCCAAAAGGCTTGCAGAAATGGGCTTACTACTTCAAGGGCTACAATCTACAATCAATTAATAGGTTAGTTCACCTAAAAATGTTATTTCTGCCATCATTTACTCACTCACCCCTTGTTTGACTTTCTTACATTGAGCACAAAAGCAGATATTTAGCAGAATGTCCAAGCTGCTTTTTCCATACAGTGAAAGTAGATGGGGAACAGGGACAATCATGATCACCATTCACTTTCATTGTGTGGGAGAAAAGCTGCTTGGACATGCTGACATGACTCCCATTGTGTTTTACACAAGAAAGTCAAACATGTTTGGAATGACATGAGGATGAGTAAACTGTTAATTGGGATGTAAATGAAAAAATGGTTAAAAATGCCTTCAAGCAGCATTTGAGCAACACAAAGAGTTGTGAAACTAATACGTAGGTTTTTGTGGAAATATTCTTTAGAATTAACACAGAATGAGAAGATGGAAGTAACTTTAGTTTCCTTGAATGAGTCAGAGATATTTGTGTGATAGTATTTTTTTTTTCAGGATTATAAATTTGCTGCTCAGTTCCTGATGTTGCAGATATGCCGTGTATGACCAGATTACTTGTGTAAATATATCAATTTGTGAGTGTGTTACAGTCTTTCAAAGTGGAGGGTTAAGTGTGTTTGATGCCCAGGTGCAACGTGTATAACTGAGTGTGTTTTCATCAAGGTTAGTGTTTGAAGACTTGTTTGGGTTTGAGAGGCAAAGTTTGTTTTATGTTTCCATTTGCTGAGACTCTGGCTGATAGCTGGCAGCATGTTGAATGTTCTGCAGGAGGAGGCCACGGAAATACAGAAACCCCAGGACAGATGAGTTTGCAATGCAAACTTTTGATGTTTATTGAATTAAAGATTATGCTTTGTATGTTATGTTTGTATTTGTATGTGTGTGTGTGTGTGTGTGTGTATGTGTGTGTGTGTTGTTTGTCATCATACATCACTTCACATCTGATGTAAGCACATACCCACTGCAGTCATACCTTGAGTCAGCAGATTTGATGTGGCTAATGCATTTATTTCTGGCCATCCTCACTCCCTTTGAGTGTAGTATAGATGACTCCCCCAGCCGATAACAGGATCACGTATCCTAGTGTCGTCAGTTCACTGAGGCTTTAGTGACCAGTGTTTGAGAGGTTAGGAGGCAGTGAACTTTACTTGAAAACTTGAAAAATGAACTTTTTCATTTGGTGCTAAAGATGATGTATTTATTGTTCCACTGATGCAGACAGATAGAATGTTTGTACTAACATAATGCCATTATTCAGTATAATTAATGTTAGAGATGTAGAGAAAATAATATGATGAAGCTACTTTTTTTTAAAACATCTTCACAATGCAAGCTATTAAAGTAGATATGCTGAAATGAAGTAAGCATTATCTTTTTACATAATGATCGGATGATATTATTTATTTTTATTTATTAGGCACAAAAACAGTAAGGATCATGATTAGAGTTACAGCTTTTAACTTTAACACAAATGTACACTAAATAAATAATGAAAAATATATGGCTACAAAAATAGTGTTTCACAGGGCCTTAAAGATATCAATGAGCCATTTTTGTTCAGACAGTAGGCCTACATCAAAGCTAATTATTTTAGTTTTATGAGCTGTTAAACCTTAATATGTAAAAATAAGGCCTCTACTTTATGTTTGACATCCATCATGTGGGGTTTAAATCCCCCCAAAACCACTCTTTTGAAGTCTTGAATATAATGGCGATGAACCTTTTTAAGAGAACTTTTATCCTGAGACGACCAAAAACACACTCAATAGGGCACTTTAAAGTGTATTTATTATGTACTTGAAATCCATACCTCCTTTTTTTTCTGGCTCTAGGTGTTTGTACGTGGGAAATGCCTTTTGATTAAGTGGTTTGTCTTCCATCTCTTTCAACATTGTTGAAAAAACGCTTGATAAGAGATTTGGCAAAAACCCTAAGGTCAAAGCACTGTTCAGGTTTTTCCTCATACCAGGAAAAGATGGAAAATAAAACTAAATCCCTAGTAAACTGGGAAAATTAACACAAGGAAGTAATAAGCATATAGTAGGACACATGCTTCTTTAGAAGAACCCGCATGCCCAGACATCTCTTTTTTTAATTTTTTTTATTTATGTTGAGGAAATATTCTGATACCGGTGTAAACACTGACTGACTGTCTGTGTGTAAAAACATTAACCTGTCTGGTGTTCAGTGTGTGAGATTCTGAGTTATACATCACTGGATCCAATAAGTACATGTGTCTGGAATGTTGCCCAAAAAGCTACAGACAGAAACAAAACAGAACCGATCCAAAGAAAGTTTTGACACTGATTTATTAACATTGATCAGACTAAACAATCTCTGGCAGACAGCAGCAGGTATACGTCAGTGTGTTGTAAGGTCGCACACTCAAGGTGGTTTAAAACCCTTCATTGTGATATTCACATTCAGGTTTCATGTTTTCATTTTTAATAGACACTTTCTGACCAAAGAAGTTAAACAAACTGATGTGATTCAATCCTAATAAACCAAAACATGATTTAAACCACTGATATTTGAACTCGGGTTAGATTCCCACGGAGGTGTGTCTCATTCTGTCTAGTGCACTAATTCTTTACTGTAAATAGTGTCTGTTCTGAGTCATTAAGAGTTGTCGTTGTCTTTCGTAAGGCTTGATTCACCTGTGCTTCACAGCTTACCTGTTCTGACATCATCACGGTGACCTGACGTGATAGAAAGACTGCTTGACAACTATTCTGATGTTTGTTCGGTAAAAACAGTCAAGTGTTGCCCCGCAACCAGTTAAACATGTTTGTGCCAATGATTACATGAAGTTGAAGAGTGTAGTTGATGCTGATGCTAGTAATGAATTTCTATTCTAATGTTTTTCTCATTTCTCTGCTGTCTTCCACCAGTCTCTAGAGCAGGACCAGATGTCTCTACAGAGGATGAAGAAAATTGTAAAAGCCATCCACAACTCTGGACTCAGTGAGTACAGTCTTATTTTTTGGAACTTTGTGTTCCTCTTGTTTGCTGAATTATTTCATCTAGTACACTGCTTCTCAACCTTTTTAACTCTAAGACTTTTCATTGTCCACAGCAATATGTGAAGGCCCAACACTCCTAGTTTCTATAAATGAAATTGCAGGATTCCAGACCTTTTAAAGGGGTCATATGATGTGATTTCAATTTTTCCTAAGGGACGTAACATTTCCGTCACACGCTTGAGGAATTCGGCCAATCAGGACGCACTGGATAGCTGGCCAATCAGAGCACACCTCACTTTTCAGACCGATGAGCTTTGTAAAAATCGAATTTTTCTTCTGAAGCGTTTCAGAAAGGCGGGGCATAGAGGAGAAACAATAATGTACAGTATGTGGAAAATAATGTGTTTTTTGAACCTTAAACCGCATAAACACATTTCATTACACCAAAGACACAAAATAATGTTCTTTTTAGCAGCATAATATGACCCCTTTAAGAGCTGAATGTTCTTCAGGGATCCCACCTGTTTGAATGAAGATTATGAAGGATAATGAAGAATATTTTTTACACAGTTTCTACCAAATGAAATATGTTAGAGCTTGGCAATACTACAAAAAGATGTATATTTGATGTTAAAAGATTTGGTCACACCTTATTTTAAGGTCCAATTCTCACTATTAACAAACCATTAACGATGGCTTTTACCTCAATAAAGTCCACATTTGCTGCTTATTAATAGTTAGTAAGGTTGTTGTTAAGTTTAGGTATAGGATAGGATTAAATGATATGTGCTTTATATGTACTAATAAACAGCCAATTATGTTAATAATAGGCCTGTTAATAAGCAACTATTTAATAGTGAGAAATGGTCTCTATACTAAAGTGTTACTAATTAGTAGATTAATAAAGATTTTACTAATTTACATTACTTTTTCAGGTCTAGATGTTACACTTTTAAAATTACTCCCCTGTGGGATCCCTGGTTCTTCAAAGAAAAAAGTTTTTGAGCAAGTAAATTAAAAAAAAATATATATATATATATTTTCTTTACTTGTCTTACCTGATTTTAATGCTTTTGTCATATTTTAAAACATTTTAAGTCGTCTTGAGGCACCCTTGGAAGTTTGCTGATGTCTCTTGGTGGACCCCAGCCACTGGTTGAAAATCACTGGTCTAGTACATAAGCAAAAATATGTATTCTGGGAGTTTAGAATAATATGAGGTGGCTTTTTAGAGATCTTCAGGAAGCCTGGTTCACTTAGTATCACTTATTCAAACCCCAGACTGTTACATAAGAGTCAGCTTGTGATGCCATAAAGATGCTTAATTAAACTACAGTAGTCGTTAAAATGAAAAAGTAAGATTTGTGAAAAAAGTCTTCCAAAAACACATTTCCTAAAAGAATTGCATTGAGGTCATTCTTACTTTTGCTGTCTCACTCTCTCTGTCACACAAATGAAAGATGACAGAAATTGGGGCCTAGACTTGCACTGACATCACAACCACTAGAGCAGATTGTGTGTTTTCCTGTTTTTGACACAGAGTCAGAGTGTAGAAAATAACAGCCACTGAAACTTGCTTCACTGTTTTAATGAACCTAAGAGTTCTCTTAATGACCTTATGCAGTGTTAAACACACAGTTTCAGTGCCTTATTCTGTTCACCCTGCACAACGCACATGGCCACTGGTTACACAGCAGTTTGGCTGCATGTACGCTGAAACTTTAATCAAATATGTACTTTTTTTTTTTTTTTTTTTTTTTTTACCATCAGTGTCTTTACCGTACTGAACTGTCAGGAGAATATCTGTGTTTACATCTGCTCCTCCTCTCTGAAATGAGAAATTGCCCCACAGACCTGGCCAATACACTATTTATAATGTTATGTTGTGCTTACAGTCCTGACTGGAATGATCATGGTTTCTGGGAAACATGTCTCAGATCTGCCTGCTTCCCATTTCTGAGGGCGCATGCCCCATTTCTCAATTCTGTGAGTCACAGTTCAGTTAAACGCAAAAGAGACCCTACGTTTTATCATCTCCCCCCTCGTCGTCACTCGCTCTCTCTTTCTCTCTCTTTCTTTTAACTGAAATCAGATGTCTCATTCCGGTAACACTACTATTGAGGGGCCTCAATTTCCTGCCACTGTGTGTTTGTGGTGGAGCTAAACTTGGTTTAGGAGTGAGACCAAACCTGAACCTGATAAAATACCACTCTTTCTGATTCACCCCATCCTTCTCACTGTGGCGGGATATAGTTGATTGTGTGTGAGAAGTTGTGAATGCTGTTTTGTAGCTCATATTAATGATTCAGAGCTAGTGCAGTTATCAGTTCTGTGCAGCGTCAAGCAGGTTTATTAGTCTTTAGAGCTTTTACTCTTTTTTTTTTTTTCTTTTTTTTCTTTCTTTTCTTTTTTTCCCCCTCTGTTTACTCATCCTGGTTAGAAACCAGTGTTTGAGTCCAGAGTCCATGATGATTTTTGGGTCAATATATATAGATAGAAATGTCTTTTTGTTGTTTTGTTAGTGGTTAGGATTACTTATTAGTATTTTTCATACTTTCTGTTGATGTGAACAAATCTATGAGTCACTTTGGGGTGAAATTCATTGGGTACTGTTGGTGCTGTGAAAATGAATGATGCCCCAAATCCGCATGTTGTTAATTTTTTTATTATTATTTATATAATCAATTTAGTTTAGTAGTTTTTTATTGATTTTTTTCATTCATTTTATTTTAAATTTTATTTCTAGTATTTTAGACCTGCCAAAGTTAATGAGCTAATCGGTATCGTTTAAAAAATGGCCTAGTCTAGTGTTATTGCTTATCAAGTTGCATTTTCTCTTTATTCAGGTGGGTTGTTAATATACCATATATTGAAAATGAAAATTTATTTGTGGACTTTTTAAAATTATTTTTGGAATTTTTATTTGTGGACTTTGTTTAATTAATTGAGTCATGAAAATGAATGTTAGTTTTAGTTTGTTTTTGTAAGTTATGTATGTAGTTTCATCTGTTGAGCAATAAAAACTCATCTTCAATGAGGGTTGAAAGATTTTTATGAATGAGTTCACTTCAGGTATGAATAGGGTACTCTATGAAGGTAATTTAAAGAGCTGTATATTTAGTCTAAACATGTGTCTGTCTGTAATCTAACAGTGTCACAGTTCAAAACAGAGCTGTTGACCGTGGACTAAATGTTGCTGAAGACATGCAAACACAAACACAGATGTGGCAGACGCTTTAAAGTGTTGATATAGGGTAATTTTTCTAAAAACTCAGGAACAGGATCTGCTTCAAGGTTCATTTGAGCTTCACATATCATCTCTGGAACAGATCAGGGTCTCAAACATGTCAAGAAATGAATTAACAATACAAATTAAAACTGAAAGTGTGTGTCTGAAAGTGCTCACAGATGCCTGTTGAGAAAATAAAACTTGTTTCCAGATCAGGGAAGGTAGGTCCTTAGAGTGCTTGGCGCCTGTGAGTGAAATGCAGTATTGTTTGAGCTGGACTGACTCACTGGAAAAACACTGTTGATTGAAGTCCACAGAAGAGGAAGTGTCAGCTAGACGTTCGATTAACTAACTCTAGAAAAAAATCCCCCCTATTTTTGTCGTTAAGTTGTTTGTCCTGTCTTGAAAAACGAAACTCAACCCAAAACCAGATAATGCAAGTTTATTTATTAAGGAAGTGATCTTACATTTCCACAATCTTTAGAGTCTAGACCGATATCCTGATAGATATCAATATGCTGACATGAGGATTTCTCCTGTTTATGTTTAATGTGCTTTTGACACTACAAAGTAATTTATTCAGGTGAAATGGGATCAGGACACAATGCATGTGATGCACCCAAGTCGTATGTGTTCCTTAATCAAGTCCTTTGCTTTTCCTGGAACAGTTTCCTGATCAACCAATCAAAGCCTTAACCCAACCCCATAGAATGAGAAGGCAATGATTACTTGATAGGAATGTTGTTTATGAAGAGACAGAGAATTTCAATCCAGGAAAATGTGTCCATCATGTTTAGCTATAGCACTGTATGCTAATTCCAGGGATGCTCCCTTGGAAAGTCCAGCATGTGCTCCCACAAATACTTGTGATTATCATAAGTGAGGATGGTTTGGCTTTGCTTTGGCTCTTATCTAAGTGTACCTGTTTATTTTATAGCTGTGGAGCTGAGAGCTCTTTGATCTGTAGTACAGTCTGAGCCTGTGGTGATTTTAGTTTTCTTGCCAGGAGCTCACTGTGCTTCAGCTGGTATAATTTTCACTGTATCACAAAATCCTGTTTTCCTTTTTTCATTTGATCATGTGGTGAGGTTTGCAAGATCACACGGTTTCAGAAGATGGATAAAGGTTATCATGTTTAAAAATTACTGCTGTACAAAAAAAAATATTTTAAAGAAATCTAAATCTATCCATTTTCTTACTATATTTTTTCCATTGCTGTTCAAGAGTTTGGTGTAAGATTTAGTTTTTTAAATAAATGAATATTCAGCAAGGATGCATTAAATTGATAAAGTCATATAAAGACGTTTTATAATGTTAGAAAATATTTCTATTTCAAATAAATCCTTTTGAATTTTGAAGTATCCTGAAAAAATCAGTTCAGTTTCCACAAAAATATTAACCGGCACAGCTGTTTTCAACATTGATAATAAGAAATGTTCCTGGAGCACCAAATCAGCATACTAGAATGATTTCTGAAGGATCATGTGACACTAAAGACTAAACGCTGATGAAAATGTAGCTTTGCCATTACTGGAATAAACTACATTTCAAAATATATTAAAACAGAAAACAGTTATTTTAAATGCTAATAATATTTCACAACATTACTGAGCAAATGCAGTACATACACTGACTGTATTTCAGACTGAACTATAGAGGCTTTTCACAATCCTGTCAATTCCTGATTGATAAAATCAAGTAGCCTACATTTGTTTTCATTGAATATCCTGTTTCTCATGGAAATGTGTAACATTACAGAAGAAAAGTGGACTCCAAACAGTTTTGTATTGATTTCTAGTTTCTCCGGTTATCTGCAGAAAGGTCACAGGATTGTCTTGTTTTTGATTGTGTGATGTTGTGTTTCCAGATCATGTGGAGAGTAAGGAACAGTACACAGAGGTTCTGGAGAATCTGGGGAACAGTCACCTGACGCAGGATAACAACGAGATATCCACAGGTTTCCTGAACCTGGCTGTGTTCACGCGAGAGATCACTGCACTCTTCAAAAACCTGGTGAGCAGGACACCATTCTGAAACTACAAATACAAACGCAATAAAAGGGACATAAAGCTGAATATTGTTTTTTTTATCCCAATTAAGACCCATTTCTTTCAGCAGAGAAAGCAGACATATTGTAGTCAAGTATTCAAGTCAAGTGTTAGTTTCTCATTTCTTACCCCAAATTTAGCTTCCAGGTGCAGCATAAAGTTCAGTGAAGCGTAAATGTTAATTACCTGAATAATTCAAGGCCAACATGAATATTTTTCCACCTTTGAGAGGAAACTATTCAAGTACTGTCTGCCCTGCCAGTATTATTATTCAAAAAGCACCTTTGGGTGTGTGCCTGTGTGGCTTGTTTTCTGGATATATTTCTGAATAAGAAACAGCAGACTTCCAGCTGTAGAAAGTACACATGGGACTGGGAGAGGTAGTTTTGTGTGTGTGTGTCAGCAGGGGTTCAACAGCTGCAGGCGAGGGCCCCTCAAACCACAGCGCCCAGAGCCCTCCCACTGATAGTTTCTATGGTGATGGTAATTTATACCAGACCCGAGAGCATGAGTGGATAGCGTCTGACCACTGAGCTGTCAATCAAACGATCACCAGGGACAGGAACCACAGCTTAAAGAATACAACAGAATCTCTGCTAAGAAAATAAACTCCATTAGATTTAGCGTCCTTTTGTGGAGGCTAAACTTTCCCTCAGAGTCAAGCCCATTTTTCATATTCATGAAGACTTATATTTATAACATCCATTTTTCAAGGTTATAAATCCATATCCAGCACCATTATGAGGTGACTCCCATGATTACTTTTAATTTATACTTTTGTGTAGCACAATATGTATTTAATGTTTTGTGTGAAAGTGTTTACTTGGGTTTGAGTATCTTTTTTTTTTTTTCTTTTTTAGTGGTCAAGCAAGGTGTTTTTTTATCATTCAGTACCAATGCCTGTCTCTATACTGCACAGTGGCTGTATATAATAAATATACATAATATAATGACATTGTATATAATGTTATATATTATGTCATTATATATTATTATATATAATGACATAATATATAATAATATATAATATAATAAACACACTAATAAAAAAAATTAACAATGCTGTCAGTACATTTAAAAATGACATTTAAATGGGAAATATGTCCGAAAGGCTGTCCTTTGTTTGAAATGATTCGGTCTGATTCTTCTTTCGTCCTGCAGTGGGTTTTTCCTCGCACATTCCTTCCTAAGGAAGATTTATACTTGCTCAGCACTTTTATGCATTTGTCCAAGGAGAAATCCCAAAAAGAGTTTTACCTTTTGCAATTTTATAATGCGGATTTATGGTTTGCGAGCATTTGTACATCCAGACTAGGCTTTATAGGGAGTGACTAGGCTTTATTTAAAGTGAGTTAGAGTTTACATTAACATTTGCACTATGATCTGGCTGACTTTCAGATGTTGTTTTTAGTTTCTTTTTGGTGTTTGTCTCGGTTACATTATTTCTACATACCTGTTTGTTCTCGAGTGCGTGTCTGCCTGAATTTATGTGTTCTTTCTGATGGTTCTTTAGGTGCAAAACCTGAACAACATCATTTCTTTCCCTCTGGAGAACGTGCTAAAGATTGAGCTGAGAGACAGCAGGCTGGTGAGTGAGACAGACACCTGTGTCACACTGTCATCATACTAGACTAAAACGTCACATTAAACCCCAATTGAATTGATAATTGAATTCAATTAAAGAGTTGATAAAGCTAAGGAAGTCAAATTCATCCCTTTAAAGAGTCAACAGTGCGTCATGTTGTTTTGTAACAAGGTTTGACAAGTAGCTTGTTTGGGGTTATTGTGTTTTCGAATGTCAGAAACGCAATAACTGCACCACACCTTTCTTTGAGTTTAACCGGTATGATGAGTGGAGACATATTGCAGGGCTCTGAGATCGAGTTTTGATACACACCCTGATATTATTACTTGCACAATATCAATTGTCCACAATGAGGTGTCCTTTGTTATTGCATCACGTTTTTAAGGCGACACAGTGTAAACTTTTTTAATGTGTGTTTGTCTGTGTATATATGCACAAAATTCTTTATTCTTATAGTGTATTTCTTTTCTCTCAGGAGCTGAAAAAACAGATGGAGAAAAGCTGGAAGGATTATGATGCTAAAATGTGAGTTTCAGAGTCAAATTGTTCTCCTAGTACACAACTTCCTATAATATTTAATACAAGACCACCACTTGGCTTGTCTAAAAGACAAGTCCACCAGCTAAACTAGTGTCTCATTATGTTCTTTTCTCTTTTTCTTCATTCATTTTCACTTCGGCTTTTCAGAGGCAAGCTGGAGAAAGAAAGGAGAGAGAAACAGAAACAGCATGGGATGATTCGGTTGGAATCAACAGACACAGCAGAGGACATGGAAAGAGAAAGAAGGAACTTCCAGCTGCAGATGTGTGAGGTATAAGAGGCCGTATGAGGGCGGCCGGTTAACAGACTTATGAAACGTGTGCAAAATGAACCTGACCAAGACCACATTGTGTGAGCGTCTCAATGAGAATAAGTGCATTTAGTGCAGCTGTATGTGTGTGTCTTAGCAAGTCATTCCTGGGTTACCTCAGATTGTTAACCTCTCTGCGGTATTAAGCATATTCTTTGTAAATTCAGTAAGTGTGTGGCAGTGTGTGAAGTCACCTAAAACCAAAAGGCTTTGGGGTGTTTTTGAGAGAGACACTCTTGTTTGAGGCCACATTGTGTTCATGTGTGGTTATTGATGACCTCACTCCACATGTCTGTGGCGATATGTCCAAGTTCCATATGCTGTGTGCGTGGCAGTTAGCAGGACGGGGGAAATTTGGGTTACGCCGCTTGAACCCAGCTGAGGTAATAGAAAGAATAAGGAAAGAAGGAGTGAAGTGGAGGAATAATGAAAGAGGGGTTTTTCAGTGTCCTACAGTGCTCCCTTTCCCAGCCGCAGAGCTCCAGATGTCTCCACTTTGCTCTCTTTTTATAGTGGAGACATGCGTTATTTCTTCCAAACCTGACCGACCATGTGACCATAATTAACTGGAAAGTTCCTGTATCCATATATGCATAGAGTAAATTTTCATTTATTTGAACAGATTGCTTAGATACAGAATGTTCAGAAACTTAAGCAGCATTTGATCCCCAGTGGCTCCTTTCACCTTTTTTAATCTACATAAAGTAGTTTACTCATGCTTATGCATACACTACACAATTATCTGTGAAATCTGACAGCCCAAAGTCTGCAGACTGGTTTTGGCAACTAGCATTGACTCCTCCAGAATGCAAATCATTGCAAAGAAGTTGTGTAGTGCATTTTACCCTTTAATTCATGTTTGTTGTGGATTCATCTGCTTTAGCTTTGTGCTGAGTCACAATGTTGGGACACAACAGTGGGATTGACCTTTGACGAATGACAGACTTTTTTTTCTCTCTCCCTCTCTCTCTCTGGTTTGATAGTATTTACTGAAGATTCAGGAGCTGAAAGTTCGTCAAGGTCCAGATCTACTGCAGAGCCTGATTAAGTACTTTCAAGCCCAACTTAAGTACGTCTAAACCAAATTAAGATCCTCTAGAAGCACCAGCTTCCTTTTCAGTTGCAGATTTAACCTAAATTGGTTTTAGTACAAAACTGCTTTTCACATTACACTTAAGTCTGGGTTAAGGCCCCTTATAAGACTGGGTTCAGCATATGAATCTCAAAGGAATTTGAATAACTACAGTGAAGATTTAATCCTGCTAATCATTCAACAGCTGTGTCTATATTGATTGAATCTCTGTGGCTTTGTGGGTGTGTGTATTGATGTCACTGACATTTGAGATGGCTAAACACTGCGATTGTGTTTTCTCAGTTTTTTCCAGGATGGACTGAAGGCTGCAGAGCATCTGGGTCCATTTGTGGAGAAGTTAGCAGCCTCTGTACATACGGTAATAGATTTGTCAATCCCAGTATCTTTGTAGATAGAATAACATACATATTCTAGTCTCCACACTTGACAAAGTGTGTTACATAAATAAATAAAAATGTATTTTAATATATTCATAAATTTCATACATTTTTGCTGTGGATTGTAAAGGGCAGCTCTAACTGGATGGTTTGTTTTCTTAGATTTATTAGAGAGATGATAAGCAGACATAATGGCTTATCTTGTTTTTGTTTGTTTTCTTTTTGTGATGCAGAAAGTCAGACCTGTGCGACATACACACCTTCAGTGTTTTGAAACTATCTCGCTTCTCATGTTAGTCACGAACTGGCGTAGTGTTAATATGATGAAATAATACTCTTCAAACTCCATTCGAGGAAGATTTATCATTGACACTTTATCATTGATTTTACATGTCTAGTCTGGCTGATACAGTTAGTTTGAAAGACTAACTTTCTACTGAATTTCTACTGACTTTCTACTGAATATCATGTAAATCTTTTTTGCGCACACATTAGCTTTGTTAAAAAATCTAGTCAGCAGCCTACCTTGACAGCATTTTAATACATCATGACAGCTTCAAAAAGTATGTTGCGACCTTTTTCCTCTTTTAAAGTCTGATTGCATGTATCTTTTGAAGAGAAAGCAATCCCAAAATGCATGTCAACAAGATGAATGAAAGAATAAAATACTCAAGATGAAGGATGAGTACTGAAAAATATGAATAAAACCGTTTAATATGTTACATATGTGTGCTAGGTAGCTAATTAAAGTGTACAGTTTAGCAACATGTTAACGGAATGCTATGTTGCTTGTATTATTCCTTTGCATAGACATATGACACACAGAGTTGCAAAAGTCTGTTTCATGATGGTTAGGATACTCCCTTAGAAACCCGCTTCCTATGTAAGCAGCAGATGGCAAGGAAACTTAGAAGGTTTTGGACCCAAGCTATTATATTGATTGCGTCTAGATTCTTAGATTTGTCTCACTTCATTCTCCCTAATAAATAAACCAAAAACTGTTTTAAAACATTATATTCAGTATTTATCAGTTGATGTTTCCCAGCAGCATTATTACTCTTTCTGCAAGTCTTGTCTAGTCATGGGTTGTAGAGAGATTTGATACGGTCTAGAGTGAATATCACACAACAATAATAATGGTGTTCATTAAATGATCTTTCTTGTATCAAAGTTTGTCATTTAGTTGATACTATGAGGAGAAGGCAGGATAGGGCATGTGGAATTGGTGTTGAGATGACCGTGTTTTATAACAGAACTGGTTCGGGTAATGTTTCTAAAGTGACATTTCTCCCGTTTCAACTTGCTCTCTTTTGATCATAACGCATCAGCATTTGGCACATAAATGGAAATGAAACTCAAAAATGAAACAACCAGAATCTAGCTTTCCAAAAGGAATAATTTCCTTTTATAAAGTACTATGGAAACTGGTTGAAGAAATTGCTGGAATTTTGTACTGGGGGCCAAAGCCATAATTTAAACAGGCTTTGAGTACTGCAGTATTTCTGGCTGTGTTGGTTTGGTCCTGGGCTTGATTACAAAACGGAGGGACGTGTTCCAGTTTAAGCCTGTAAACTGCTCCGTTATCAAATGTATTTTTGTTTGTGTATAACTTATGTTAACTCTTCACAAGACCAGTCACATTGTGTAGCACAAAAACAAGCCCCATATCACTTTACTGTGATTGTTCACAGGTTCGTCATGAGCAGGATGATGAAGTAAAGCAGCTCTCTCAATTGCGTGACTCACTCAGAACACAACTACAGGTTGATGGCAAAGAGGTAATATCCAAAGTAAACACAACTCCCAGAATGCACAACTTCTAGCTCAAAGTAATGCATTTTCTTCACAAGATGGACTGAAAAAGAGCTCATCTGTGGCCATAATTGGCATTAAAGACTCTATTTCAGCAAGCTCAGAGATGATGATGATGATGATGACAGTTATAATAATAAATGTTGTTCTGTCTTCACAGGATTTTCTAAACAGGAAGAACTCTGGCCATGGATATAGCATCCACCAACCACAAGGCAATAAGAAATATGGCACAGAGAAATCAGGATTCCTTCTTAAGAAGAGCGATGGGTGAGTTAAACATTACTGTCTACTTCCCCAAGTTGAGAAGGTCACCAATCCCCCAAAAACAACAACAGACCAACTGTTTATTTTTATTACCTGGGTTTATTCAAGGTTTTCCAGACATGATGCATTATTCAGCTCCTGTTTGCTTTTAGTCACATGGGGTGAGTGTGTGTTTCTCAGGAAACACTCTCCACACTGCTCTGTGAATGTAATGATATATATGCCCTCTTCTTAAACTGGAAGCAGAATAAATGAAGTGAGTTATAATATCCTGAGAGTCGTACAGAGTCGTTCCTCTCACACAGATGTTTTCTATTAAATGTGGTTTAGTCTCTTACTGCACTAGAGTCTTACTTGCACTCTCTTAAAATCTCTAAGGCCAACCTACAGCTCACAAAACACACACATGCCCACATAGACTACTTAGGTTTTGATCAGTGCATCAGAATAAACATGTCAGTGCCATTTTTGTTGTCAGTAAATTACTGAATGTAACTTCACTAGAGAGCTACTGAATCAGTACAGTTAACAAGTGGCTACTAGTTATTTCTGCTTCTCAAATCAATTTATATAAATCTTGATACCAAGGACCCCTGAATATGATCATTTTATCTCTGTGAAGTATGGAGGTATTATGCTAATACTGATGAATACTGAATGTGGATTGTTAGGGTTTTTCCATGATCTTTGTGTTTTAGGATCAGAAAGGTTTGGCAGAAGAGGAAGTGTGGGGTAAAATATGGCTGTCTCACCATTTCACACAGCACGGTGAGATTTGAGAAAGACAAACACCTTCCAGTTACACATACTTCATTATATTACAGCTTTTGAATCTTTTTTGCTGAAAGGAATTTAAGTACTTAATATTAACTTTTTGTTTACAAACCTTCTGTATAAAATCCTATGGCTGAATCACTATGCTGTAATCGGTACTCTTGCTTGTGTGATTATTGTTTAATTGGCACAAATCGCAAACTGACATTGGTAATGACACACAAAGGCTGTTTCCTCTTAGTCTCCAGAGTGATTACTTGAGCTTCAGAGGCCTGCAATCAAATTTTCCCATGCTGTATGAGAAAAGACTCAACGCTCATGTATTAGCAATTTCCTTTCAGAACCACAAACTATAGGCCAAAACACAACACAAGTGTTTCATCTGGAATCATCCACATTGTCAAAAACCAAAACTTTCACTGGTTTTGCTTACATGTCTGTGTGCGTCAAGCTTCAGTGTTTTAGCAACCATTAACTTTATGTAGCTTTTACTCACATCTTTAGCATTAATCCTGCACACAGCATAAATGCAAGTGAGATTTGTTTGCATTTGATTTAGTGAGTGACCACATATGTGATGAGTATGCACTTTAAACATGTTATGACTCTTCTCTAACTCTCAGATCAACAGACCACCCGCAAAGCTCAACCTCCTGACGTGTCAGGTGCGGCCCAACCCTGAGGAAAAGAGAACGTTTGATTTAGTTACACGTACGTTGACCTCTGACCTTTGACCCTTTTTCATCTCTGCTGTAATATGAAGAAAAGGACTATGTTTGGAATGGGAAACTAGCATGCTAATGATTGAATAGTGCGTGGTACACACTGTATACTGCCTACTAATCTTTAGAAATAAGTGAAACAGAAGGCAATGTATGTTATAAGCAGTAGTATGCTGCACTGCTGTCACACAATTTTATATATAGACTTTATAATTCAGTGCTGCTGGTGTAGCTGACCGGTATGTGATGCATTATGGGAAATCTGATGTGAAATACAGTATGTGAACCAGGTGAGGTGTTTTATGCATATAGGTGTTCAGAAGTATGTAAATACAGTTTGGAGGAATAAGTATGTAGGTGTATGTGGATCATGAAATGCAGATAAGTTGAGTGGCTAGTCCTGACCTGTTTTTTTTTTCTGTTGATTTCCTGTATGTTAGGATGTTTTTTCCATGTTTCCTTTGCACAGAGGCCCACCAAGCGCACACATTTACATTTACATTTACATTTAGTCATTTAGCAGACGCTTTTATCCAAAGCAACTTACAATTGGGGGATACATAAAGCGATTCTTCTTAAAGAGGCAAACAGACACAGGAAGTGGTTGTAATACCAAGTTCTTAGACATTGTTCAAATAAGTACAAGCTAGAAAGAGAAGGAATAAATAAAGAGAGAGAATTTTTTATTTATTTATTTATTTTATTTTTTTTTATGATGAAGTCAAGTAGCTTCGAAAGAGATGGGTTTTCAGCTGTTGCTTGAAAATTGTCAGGGATTCAGCATTCCGGATAGGGGTGGGAAGATCGTTCCACCAGCCAGGAGTGGTGAACGAGAATGTTCTGGAAAGTGATTTTGAGCCTCTCTGTGATGGTACCACGAGGCGTCGCTCACTAGCGGATCTCAGACTTCTGAAGGGGATGTGTTTGATTGTGCTTGATGGAAGTCCAGCCAGAAGAGCATTGCAGTAGTCCAGCCTAGAGATGACAAGGGCCTGGACAAGAAGTTGTGCAGCATGCTCCGTTAGAAAGGGCCTGATCTTTCTGATGTTGTGCAATGCAAACCTGCAAGATCGAGCGGTCTTTGCAATGTGGTCTTTGAAGGTCAGCTGGTTATCAAAAGTTACACCAAGATTTCTGACCGAAGTTGATGGGGTAATTGTAGAAGAACCTAGCTGGATGGAGAAATCATACTGTAGAGTTGGAGTGGCAGGGAAGACAAGAAGCTCAGTCTTTGCCTCACTATTTGCACACTATTTATCTCTTTTATCTCTTTCTCTCTCTGTCCTTGCAGACAATCGCACATACCATTTCCAGGCTGAGGACGAGCAAGAATGCATGATGTAAGTGCAGAAATGTGTACGCTCACACACACCCGTATACATAGAAATCTTTATTATATACTGCAAAGCGGCATGAACAGACATGCAGGAGAGAGCAGGTTCAAAACCTGCTTCTAGAGAGGAGAGAGAATAAAAAGGAAAGAGTAAGATAAAGAAAGACATTGAAATGTTAAAGATGCAATGGATGTATCTGAAAGGTCACCTATTGAGATGAATGCACGTCTTTGTTTTTGTAATCCCTTCATTTGTCTTCTTGCAGATGGGTTTCTGTGCTGCAGAACAGTAAGGAGGAGGCCTTGAACACGGCTCTCGGAGGAGATCAGCTCCAGTTTCAGGACAGTGGTCTGCAGGAGCTTGTCCGAGCTGTGATCTCAGGCCTGAGAAACCTGCCAGGCAATGAGGCCTGCTGTGACTGTGGAGCTCCAGGTCTCGAAAAGAGGATCCTAATGCATTTAAATACTGTTAGAGGCCATTAATACAGAACGCATTTTGCATTTCCTTTTTTTTTTTTTTTTAATGAAAATGTGCTAGATGGATGTGTTTGACCACTGTCTTTTTAATTTTAAATGCAAAAATGCATTCTGTGAGAATGGCCTCAAATACAGAAATCCTATGTGTTATGTTATTCTAAATCAAATCAAAATGATGATTGGAGAGAGACATTTAATTTAAGCCTTAAATAGTTTTGAATGTGTGTTTCTTACACAACTATTTAGATCAATGAAATATTTAAGCAATGCATAACACTATGTCTGTTCCCAAAAATTTCTGTATCATCTTTATGAAGAGCTTCTAAAAAACACTTTATTGGTCAGTGAAGAGTGGCAAAGAAATGTTTGAATGATGTGTGTTGTGCTCTTTAGAACCCACTTGGCTCTCCACTAACCTGGGCATTCTCACCTGTATCGAGTGTTCAGGAATCCATCGTGAGCTTGGAGTACATCACTCACGAATTCAGTCTCTCACTCTTGACGTACTGAGCACATCTGAGCTCCTGGTAAACACACACACACACACACACACACACACACATATGTGTGTGTGATGTCATACAATTTAAAAAGATAATTCAGCTCCATTCATTATACAGTCCATTACCTTCTGCACATTTACCGTTGTTCTTTTTGTGTGGTACGTATCACATTTATCTTGAACTTTTTACCCATAATCCACTGGGACTGAGTCAGCATTTACTCACATGTGTCTCGCTCACATCTGTAAATGTTTATATAAACTTTTTACCTCTGACAGTAAAGCAGTGCAAGTGCTCCTGCACACGAGTGTTATTTATTAGTTAGTTACTTGTTGTCAGTTAGATTACAGATAAATTACCTAACATAAAGCTGGATGCATATGTTCAGTGTTTTACGGCAAACATCTGTTTATCAGTTGTGTTTTGGTTCACAGTTGGCAGTGAGCATTGGAAACGCGAAGTTTAATGACATCATGGAAATTAACATGCCCAGTGATGCAGTCAAGCCCCTTCCAAAAAGTGACATGTGAGTCCTATTGTGCAGTCTCTTTTTCGCTTTTAGCTCAGACTTTTTGGAAGGGGCTTGTTGGAAACGCGAAGTTTAATGACATCATGGAAATTAACATGCCCAGTGATGCAGTCAAGCCCCTTCCAAAAAGTGACATGTGAGTCCTATTGTGCAGTCTCTTTTTCGCTTTTAGCTCAGACTTTTTTTTTTTTTTTTTTATTTTTTTACCTCACCTCATTTTGGATTTTTTTGCACATCAGGACAGCGAGGAAGGAGTACATTGTAGCGAAGTATGCAGAGCGACGCTATGTCCTCCCAAAAGAACACTCTGAAGCGTATCATGTGTATGACACTGTGAGGAACAAAGATCTCACGTCACTGCTACAGCTCTATGCAGAGGGAGAGGACCTGTCTAAACCAGTGGCCACACCTGAAGGACAAGTGAGATCCTCAATACAACCATATACACAAACACCACAACCACAATGATGATAACAAAAACATCAAGGCGTATAAACATGCTGTCACTCATGCTTTTCACATTTCTTGAGATGTTTAGAGCTTTCAAAGGTATCAATCCATCACATCAGAGACTTCCTGTGGTTTAGTCAAATGGATGTTTAATTTTTCTTGATAATTTTGAACTGTATAAGTAAAAATGAGACATCTTTGTGGTTATACGTCATTAATCACACATCATTCACACTCTCTCTGTAATTCTGTATTTCCTCTCTTTTTTCTATCTCTAATCAGATTTACCTCTCCTCAGCCCACTCAGGAAGTGAACACAAGCTGTGTAATGACTGCTGTTCTTGTGTTTGAATTTGTTTTGTGTATGTGTGTGTTATTTGGCCATAGTCTCAGAATAGAGACAGAGTTTGACTTGAATGATTCAGTGACTGAATCACCAACATTTTTATTTTAAAACACACACGTATACTCACAAGTAGAGAATTGTAGTATGCCAACTCGCAGACTAATTCATTAATCTTCTCCGTCACTCTTCATCCAGTCTGCTGTGATTTATTGGACTGGTGAATAACAGTATGTTTGTTTCACCGAGACAGTGGCTGGTTGGCAGCAGCCAGTAGCTTTAACTTGTTCTCTTCTGTGTCTAACAGGACCTGAAGGAGACCGGTCTTCACTTAGCTGTGCGCATGTCTGAGAAGACTTCTCTGGCTCTGGTGGATTTTCTAGCTCAGAACTGGTGAGAGAAATCTGCTGTTGTCACGGATCTGTCAGTACATGGTAGGATGTCCATCAGCTGACCGCTTTGTGTTTGTGTTTCTCAGTGGCTGCCTGGAAAAGAAGACAGCAGAAGGAAACACAGCGCTTCATTACTGTGCATTATACAACAAACCAGAGTGCTTGAAACTTCTGCTCAAAGCAAAGGCGGTTTTACACACAGGTATACAGTAATCACATACATGCAAATTCAGCTATAAAAATTATGGATAGATGCATACATAGATGTATAAACAGACTATGAAAGACTGAGTTCAACTTGTATACTTACTGATAGATAGATAGATAGATAGATAGATAGAAAAACAGACAAATAAATGGATCAATCTGTCCTGATTTTGACTCTTCCATTGTTCTGATTGTCCTGTAGTGAACTCAGCGGGTGAGACGGCTCTAGACATTGCCAAGAGACTGCAGCACATGCTGTGTGTCGAACTGGTGAGTATCACATAATGCACAAAGCTTTTATTGACTTTGTGTGTATGTGAGCACATGTTTGTAGAGATATTATTCCTAGGTTGACTAGGTTGAACTTTATCCTGTTTAATATCCTGAATTCTCATATGACAGTGTTTTCATAAGGAACTTCCCTTGTCCTTCCCTTGCATAAAATAATAATATCATATAAAACAAACCTAGTAGCTGTTATAAATATGAATGTCTCCAAATAAACAATGAGGGATCATCAAACCATTGACTCTTTACAGTATGAAGACAACAAACAAACAAATAAAAAAATAGAGCTGGATTTGAATCTCTATCTAATAGTGTGATATCTGTCAGTCTGGTCAAAAGTGAGTCAGTGAATTGGCTGTTGATTTCTTATATTTTATTTGTGTGCATGTTTAGCTGGAATTGGCCCACAGTGGGAAGTTCAACTCTCAGATCCATGTTGAATACACATGGGAGACGCCACAGGACATGTATGACAGTGAAGATGATCTGGACGAAAGGGTCTGTAACAAGATTAACTATTTCTTAATAAAGTATATGCATTTTCAACATATGTAAAGTGGTATCTGAGTCTGTGACCACTGGTGAAAATGTTTCTCTGTTTTGCATTTTTCTAATTTAATAATAATAATAAAATAATTTATTTTATGCCATAATGTTTCTTTGTTTTAGAATTTATAGAATCATAATGATAAATCAGTGCACAGGTTCAGCAATATGAAATTGATGTTTTTATATATATATATAGGGGCATTATGAATATATGAGTTTACGAGTCTATGGATGCTCATAAATAAAAGTATAAAAGTCTCTGTTTTGACTCAAAATGTGAAATATAATGTTCAGTAACTATTTGTTTAGGTAAGTCCCCATCCTAAGGGCTCACGGTCTCCGCTGCCCCTTACTGGCAGCAATAGGCACTGCTCGGCTGCATGGAATTTAAATAAAAGCAGTCCGGCCAGGACCTATGAGAACATTGACTTCCTATATCGAAATCCACCCAACAACAGCGCCCCCACTAATGGCTCCATGCCTCCTCCCCTGCCAGCTAAAGCAATACAAAGAGGTGAGATACTGTTTGTTAGCTTTTAATTGACGTTTTAAGTCTGGAATTTTGTATACCCCAAAAAAGCTTGTGCAGGTTTGACCTGATAAACAAAAGCTAAGGAATGATCTGGCATTTAGATGTTCTCTAAGAAGCTGAAATGAGGTCCTTTGCAAATGTGAACTGTGTAGAAACCCTGCAGGTTTATTCCAGACAATCCACAGCAAGGTCAAAGATAATTTGTGTCCCTGCAGGCCGTTCAGATCCTCAGATCTCGGGTTCCATTCCAGAGACTCACACCCCCTACCGCCAGAGTTCCCACCCCACCAGCTGCTTTCCGAGAATCAGCACTTCATCCCCTGTGACGGAGTCCCCTGGACCAACACCTTCACGCTCTCATAGCACTGGAGGGTCAAAGGGACATAGACAGACGGTGTACTTGGAGGGACAATCTTTCTCAGGGGCCGAGGGCAAAAATCACTCCACCTCACCACAGAGTCAGAGAGGACCTGTCAGGTTAGTCACTGTGGTCCTATGCTGCATTTATCTTCAAAGGCCAGAGGTTTCCTCATTATTTTACTTAATGATTTGTATTGTAATTTTTTTGTATGTTATTATATTTAAAAACATAACCACTAGTTAGGAGTTGCTGGAAAAATTTATTATGTCACAAGACATATTTATGGTTTTTGAGCTATAATTTCAGTATTACTATTGTTAACAATAGTAATGGTAAAATAGTAGCATTCACTAAAATCTGAATTTTTTGAATACGTAAAATATTACATGTGTCTGCAGTTCAGAGAAGACGACCTCATATCGCCGCACGAGCAGCGGCAGTCAAGGAAAGAGTTCGGCCCCGACTCCAGGGTGTGCAGGCAGTCAGGAGGAACTCTACTGCAGTCCAGTGGGCGGGGCTCCCAGTCCTGTACCTCCGCCAGCGAATGCTAACAACAGTGCCACAGTGCCAATCATACTGCCGCCACCTCGCTCACGCAAAAATGCCATGGTAACATGCCATCCTATGATCTTTATTTTGAGATATGTTTTTTCAAATGTCTTCCTGATGATTACATAGTATGTTTATTTATATTTTTTGCAGTTTGTTTTTCCTTTATTTGTGAACATGAATTTAAGGGCTGGAATACACTACACACTCTGCCCAGATTTTTCTCCAGTTTGCAGTCTGGAGAAGTTGACATTAGTTGTCAAAAGTCATAGCCAGCCTGCAGATTTTGGAAAGTCAGATTTGATTGATTTCACAGAAGATATACGCATAGTGTGTGACAGGCACAGACTTTGATTTTTAGCTTTAGACTCTGATTCCATCCAGTCTTAGACTATCAAGCATATTTAATATTTTGAGCTGATTTTAGAATGCATGTTGTTTTCATTTGTCACGAGTCTCCTAGCAATGAGGCTCATTTCTGCAGGAGTCCGTTGTGTTTGGAACCACTTAAAATCCTCAGTCTTTTAGTGTATGATGCCCAGTTTTTTTCTGTAACCATTTCTGACATGTGTATGATTCCTAGTAGGGATGTAGCAGAGGTGGGGGACTCGAGTCACATGACTTGACTCGAGTTGAGACTTATTTGACAAATATTCATAAAAGACTTGACTTGACTTTGACTTGATACTCTAGTGTTGCCAACTTAGCGACTTCGTCGCTAGATTTAGTGACTTTTCAGACCCCTTTAGTGACTTTTTTTTTCCAAAAAAGCACCTAGCGACAAATCTAGCGACTTCTTGGACAAACCTTATTTAGTTTCTGAGATTCGCCGGTACTGCCGCGCGAGGTTTTGTTTTCCCAGCGCGTACACACCTCTCTGTGCGTCTGCTTTGTTCAGCGAGCGGCTGAGGAGCAGCGCTTTCAGTTAAAAAATATATTCTGTCACTTCGAACTCTATTTTACATGCAAATATAGCCGAAATCACAGCACAGCCATCTTTATCTTATGTGTATTTGATTTCATTAGACGACGTCGTGATTATGAATCAGGATTTTTGTGCAGATTAACATCCAAGGGAGGGCTTGTTATGTAGTCTTAATGGGCCGCGTTTCAGTCTCTAGTTCATATTCATCACGTTGTCTTACAACATAATCAGAAAAATATACCAGTGAAAACAGTTTTATTGAGAATTTGACTGCATTAAAATACAGTTTGTGAACACTATCAAATTTAACTTTTTGCAAGTGCAATGCATTGTAAAATGGTTATTCACCATTTATAAGGAAATGTCAGCTTTTTTTTTTTTTGGTAATAGCGCTTAGTATATGCATGTGTACAGTGTCTAATAATTGGTCTTCAGTGTTAGACTTTGAGTGAAAAGCTTATGGATAGTTTATGGGGATGCACATAAATATATTGTATACGCATACATATACACACACAGAAAGAAAGAAAAAAATCATACAGACTTGCAAACCCAACCATGCATACACAAGCAAACAAAACAAAACACCAACAAAACCCTCAAACTTGCAAGCTTTGCATGCACATGCAAACAAACAATACACTTTCACTCATACACGCGCACACACATTCACTCACAAATATTAATAAATCACACTCACTCAAATCACCTCACTCAC